TTAATTATTAAGTTTAAATTTTATTACTGTAAAAATAGACTTTATTCATATTTATTCATTTTCGAAAAAAGTTTCAACATATGTAGGTGGTTCTAAACTATTTGTAAAAAGAAGAGATAATTTCCATTTTGCATTTAAATCATCAGCTGGATGAATATTTCGATTTCCTACCAAAAAATCATAATCTAAATCTCCATTAAGCAGCAATTCATCATTACTATTTTCAACCCGATTTTCATAATTAGCCTCTTCAATCCATTGAGAAATAATTGCTTTCCATTGATTTTCATTTTCTTCAGTATTTGATTCTATTTCATCTTTTTTTCTTTTTTCTTTATCATCATTTTCTATATTATTATCATCATCACTTACTATTATTAAATCATTTTTATCAACATTTTGTTCTTCTTTATCAGAATTATTAGAATCATCAGCAATTGGAGTTGCGATATGAAGCCTTCTTATTTGCTGATCAGTTTGAGTAATTTCTTTAATTCGATGTTGATATAAAATATTACTACGAATTTTACTCATTGCAAGAACCTTTGTATGCTAAATAATAATAAATAAATAAAAAAATTTAAGTTTTTATAAAAAATCATTAATTATTTTTTAATATAATATTAAATTAATACTCACATTTAAACGATTTCGTTTAATAGTATGAAAAAAACCCATTGATGACCATAAACGTTCTACTGAAGCAGAATTTACACAAATACCATGAATATGAATAGCTACTTTAGCTAGTTCTGGTCCAATTCCTATTGTTGATTCCCAAAAATCTAATACATTTCCTCGAAATTGAAGAAAAGAATCATTATCATAAGGATCATCCCCTCTTTTATAATTAATTAATTCTGCTAAAATTGTTTTAGCCGAAATTCCAAAAAAAGCAAGATAATAATATTTCAACCATTGACCAATATGTGTCCAAGTTAAATCATTTGCTATTGATTGAAATTTTGATAATCGATAAGATGGATGAAGTACAATAGAAAGTAATAAAAGTGGCTGTTCCCAATCCTTCCATCTTTTTTCCATTCTAGATATCATTTTTTCTGAAAAGACTGGATCATGATATTCAGAAAAAATTTTTGTGACATATGCAAAACAATGTACTACTTCATAAAGTCGTGCTGTATCTTTTTGTAATTTGTTTAAAAATCCACATAAAGGATATAATAAATTTTGTAAAGAAAATAATATTGACCAAAATTCTGCATTATTAATACTATCTGCAATATCATCAGGTAATTTTCGCTCTCCATTACTTCTTTTTGATTGTTTATTCACTGCACTATTAGGAATACCATTTGTACAAATAATATTTGCACGTTCTGGATTAAATTTTGCTGATAAAAACTAATATTATTATAAAAATATAATATTTTTTAGTAACTATAAATATTAAATAAATAAAATTAAATTTAATTAATCACCTTTAAGGCAGCTTGAGTTTTTAAAATTGAATAAAAGCAAAAATAATATGAATTCCATCTAGTATTACCAGGTAATACTAATTTAATTGTTTTTTTATAAATTCGTTCCTGTTCATCTCGCAAGTTTCCTGTAAAAAATGTAGAATTATGAAAATAACTAACAATTCGGACTGCTTCTTTAGAAATTCTTTGAAATACTGCATTTTCTTTAAATATATCACCAAATACTAAATTCATCTGATGTGCCATACAAGGAAGAAATATTTTTGCAGGATATTTTCTTCTTAATTGTTTCCTAATTAGTAATTAAAATGTAAATAAACAATTTTATACAATTTTTTTAATTTATCTTACCTTGCAGCAGCATATTCCCCAGCAGAATCTGATACAAATGCTTTAATATTAATTTTTTTTTCATTTTGAGCTTCGTCCATTAATTGTTCAATATGTCTTATAACATCTTCAGTTCTTGATCGTTCAGAACTTATCTCTTTAGCATCCCAGATTAAAGGTTGTCCTTTTGAAGTAATTAATACAACACCCCAAATATTTTCTTGTTTTACATTCGTCCATCCATCAAAAGTAGCAGTTAATCCATTTTCATCTGATTGTGCTATTTTAAGTACATTTTCTTGAAAATTTTCTGTTGTTTTTAATAAAATTTTTCCACTAAGTTTTTTTCGATTTGGAAGTTTAAGACCGGGAGAAACAAAATTAAATACTGCTTTCGTTTCTTCATTTTCCACAAAAGAAAAAGGAAGACCATTTGAAATACACATTTTAACTACCAATGTCTCAAATGTAGGTATATCTTTATTAGACATAGGTTTATTATACCAATTAGATAAAGTTGATTGTGAAGCTGTATTATTTATAGTTGAAGTAAATTTACGATATTTAGGAGGCGGAGGTTCATTATCATCAATATCTTTATTATTAAAAAAAATTATCTTTATTATAAAAAAAAAATTATTTTTACATAACTATTATTATAAATTATATATATACTTGATTCATTTAATTTTCGTTTATCTTCTGGTACTGGTTGAGATAAAATTTCTTCTACTTCTTCACTAGTATATGAATTTTTAAAATGGATACAATTTGCTAAATGAGCGCGACATAAATTGGCTTTATTCGTTGTAAAACATCCTGATATTAATGCTGCTGCTTGAACTCCTCCATTTTTTGAACTACAAAAAATGCATACTGCTTTTGCATTAGATTTATTATTAGGGTTAGGAACTAAACTAAAGAAATTTCGAAATTTGTGTGGAGTTGGCATTTTTTAAAATTAAAGTTTAAATTTGCATTGACGATTATCAAAAATCTATCATTTTAAATTATTTCCACTTGGTTAATTTTAATTGGTTAATTAGAAAAATAATATGAAATGATGACCCGCCAATCGGTTGAATCGGCCAGTCACACAACTTTGCAAAAATGCAAAAATTAACG